AGAATTATCATTTTATCAGCAAATACCTAAAGGCTAAAACATCGGAAGTATTATTTATGTTTGCATTGTTTAGACAAATTTTAGTAAATGGAAAGACCTGACTGAAGGAAATAACTGAAATACCCTTAAACCGCAAAATAACCAAAATACCCCTGAACAGTAAAATAATCCAAAATATCTCTAAGCACTGGAATGACAAAATTATATGATCTAGTTAAACTGAATGAAATAACTGTATGTATACGAATTTCAGAAAGAATCGAATTACTCTGGAAACTCCGAAGTAACCGGGATAGACTTAACTATTAAATGACCTAAGTATCTTGATGACCTTGAATTAAATGAATAACTTGGATAAGTCAGGAAACACTAATGATCTTATATGTTGTACTGCCCATAAGGATTTTTAATCACGAATCAAGCACGCCAACATTTCTTAATAACGTTTCAATGTCAAATTGGAATAAAGACCATTGGAATACATGTTCGTCTCCCTAAGATCCTTTCTGTGATGATTCTGAAGATGATCAATTCGACAAGAATTTTTTGTATTAAAAATGAATATTCTGAAAGTACAACGATTTGACCGGTTAACATGTATCATTGATGGGACTTATACAGTTTGAGTTGATTCGATATTCTGGTAGATCGACACAAGTCGTAAATGCTTTGAATCTTCTTTTCTCCCTTATCAACTCAAATCACTATGAATTCTCCTGAATAATAGAATCACTTCGGTCATATCTGAAAATACAAGTAACTCAGATGCAAAGGATTCTAAATACACTTATGATTACTTAGTGCCTCCAAAAAATTGTCTGAATACTATATGATCCTGATAAATTGTCTGAATACTTTTTCGATAGTGATTCTAACTTCCGGCATTCTATCGGTATACTGAAGATTTGTGTTTCCCTTGCCCGATAAGATTAGCATGTACCTTCGAATAGTATCTGGAACCTCTAGTGTGTTCCCTAACCGCACATATGTTTTCTATTATCCTTTTCTAATCTCTGATCACTTTTTTGATATCTCTATTTACTGACTGAAATTATTTTATACTGGGTACTCTGGACCTGGTATGAAGAATCTGGCAGGTTCAATCGTTGCTGGTAATTCCTTGTATAGGTTCAGCATCGATTGGAAATTCATATCTCTGACAGGTTCAGTCGCTGCTGGTAATTCCTTGAATAGGTTCAACACTGACTGGTAATTCCTTATGGACCTAAGGTGACCCTTGGATAGGCTCTGCGACCCCGAGAATCTTTCTTGGGTAGGCTCTCAGGTCCCAAGGTACTCTCTTACGTTATGCAGTTCTGGGGAGCTGCATATGGTGTTCAGTTGGAGGGATTACTATGGTTTTTGAAAAAAAATACATTTTAAACTGCTATTATTTTAAAAAGATATGTATCTTTTCAATGGTTTTGTGGGAACACACTAGCTAACATATTTTGATCTCCTAAACCCAATCATCCTAAATATTTCCCTCTAAATTGAAAGTTTACTGTCTTCTACTATCTGAGATTTCAATGGGACCTCAGCTCAGCCTAAAAATTTGTAGATGTCTAAACCAATAAAGAAACATATGCTTATATGTTATCTGCATGTTCTTCAGCGTCATCTAGTAGTTCTGTACTACTAAGCTTTCCAAAGCTCACTTTGTTACTCACATTTTCAGGTTAAAAAGATTGAATCACTGCAACTATCGACATCGGTAAGGGAGCTTTATCTGCGTTGTTTGCGAAGTACGGTGCAAATGATTAGGGGGCATGTATCTTATATTTTTCTTTTATATCTGAGTCAAATATCTGTTTTATTTTAGAATATTGATAAATTTTACTTTTATATTTATAAATTGTTTTATAATTTTAAGCGCTTTAACAAAAAGTTAAGTTTTCTGATATTTTTACTATGGGTTACTCTGGTGGCCCTAATGTGACACCCCGGATCGGATCAGGTCACCTGCATCGGTCTGGGGGTTACATGAAGGGTAAATATTTTTTTACCCCGAGGCTATCTTTGTCTGCCCCGAGGTAATCGGTGATGAATTCGGTGGTGGTGACGACATCAGATATGTTTGGGGAATTGGGAGCGCTTGTTTCGAGCTAAGCGTGCATCTCAAACGCGGGGCAGATCAACGGTCGGGCTTCGACAGCGGCTGCTGCTGGGTACATTAGGGTAAAACCCTAGCTTTGGTTAATTTGGACCATTGGTTCAGATATGATCTAACGGATGATTTGGCTTGGTGGCGCAAAGGGAAAAGGGTGAAACCCTAGTTTGCATTTTGGGCTTGCCTTGGGCCTGCTGAGTAGGTTGTAATGTTGGGCCTTTGTAATATAGTTTGGACCTCTGTTGGTCCCGCTTTGTAATATAAAAATAATAATAATAAATAATATAAATAATAATTGTAATAATAATAATATAATGATAAATTATAACCCGGACAAAAAATGGGTGTCTACAGTTAGAATTCAAACGTTTGATCTTACTTAAAGAATCCAACATCTAATCTCACTAGGCTAAATAGTTATAAATTATTTAAAAACATTTCTAATAATAATGTTAAGCAATTTTGTATGACAATAGACATGAATGGAGCTAGGATTTCACTATGAGAGGGCAAGTTGTTTAATTTTAAAATAAATAGGACCTAAAAAGTAATTAAACCATAAAAATTAAGAGATTAAGTGTTTAATTTCATTAATTTTAAAATTCAAAGGTCTTAAAAAGTAATTAAACTAGATAAATTTGGGGTTAATGTTTAATTTTGTTAATTTTTAATTCCGTTAATTTTAAAATTGATATTGTCTTAAAAAATAATTATACCAAAAATTTTGGGGTCAATGTTTAATTCCATTAATTTTAACAAGTTTTTTTATACTTTATCTAATAATTATGTTGTTAATTAAATGAGATTTTTCATAGGTATCTATATTTTGTATAATTGTTATTTTTATAATTATTGTTTATTTTATTTTCATGTAGGAAGTAGTTGAAGTTGTATATAGGGAGGAAAGTCCAATAAATCTTTATACTATTGCAAACAAGTGAGGTGTCATGATTGATTCAATAGAAAGTATTGGAAAGACATTTATTTTCATGAATGGTCTATTTAAAAAAAATAAGGATAAATATTTAAATCATAGACTATATAGGAAAGATTTACACGGTGGATCATTAAAGGAAAACAGATCAAACTATAGATCAAAAGAGAAAAATTTAGATAATGGTTCATTGAATGGTGAATGTTTAGATAGTAGGTCGTATGAGGAAGAATGATTAAGTATCTAGTCTTTAAAGGAGAAAATTGATAATTCTAGTAGAAAAGTGTGTAGCTCTTTATTTATCAAATTTTATCTTGAGTACTCTCTTTCATTGCAACTTAGGGATAAAAGAAAGATTGATTGTCATTTTCGAAGACATTGTAAAGCCACCTACTGATGCTCCACCAAAACTTCTTAGTGATATTATTAACTTTCAGTTTGGCGAACATCAATTTCCTAGTCAATTAGTTATGTTAAGGAAAACTCCAATAACAATAAAAAAAAGGTGAACAAAGTATCAAGTAATCACAAGACACCGTCAAAGAGAAAAAATTCTCAACAGAAAAAGAATGTTATGTAATCTGTAGCACTTTCAAATTCTACTGATGGTATGAAGACAACAAATTTGACTATAAAAAAGAAAGCTTCGAAACTGTAATAATATCATAACGGTGAGTATAAATTATATTTAATTGTATATATTTTTATTAATTGTTTGGTTAATATCAATACCTTTAATTATTATATGCGGATCCAATGAGAACACAATACATGTCATAATTGTTAAGAGACATCATAGGTTAAAGGCTATAAACAAAACAAAGTTTGCTTGTAGTGTGTTCGGTACGTTGCTTTAGTGTGTTTGGTATGTTGCTTTAGTTATGTGTTGCGGTGCGCGACGTGCATTGTATATATTTCATTGATTTTAGGTTAAAATATACAAATGATCCCCCGATTATAGGATACTACTTTATTGACTCCCCGACTATCAAAAGTTACAAATGATCCACCACTATAGGGAGTTGCTTTATTGAGTCCCTCAACTATTAAAACCACAAAAATGATCACCGACTATTCATTATGTTCGAAAATCATCTTTTTTCGTTAAAAAATTAATGGTCGTCTGAGCTTGGTGTTAACATGTTCACTGAGATATGATAATCGTTTGAGATTATGAGATCAGATTTTATCATATCTCAATCACCAGGTTAACGTCCAGCTCAGAATACCGTTAATTTTTTATCTGAAAATGATGAATAGTTAAGGGACTTAAGAAAACAATATTTTGTAGTCAAGAGAATATTTATGTATTTTACCTTGATTTTATGCACCTCATTTTTGTAGAAAATAACTCGCGAACTATTTTCATCTTTGAAGATTGCAGTTGTGTGTATTTATATTATACTAGGAGAACCCATTTGTCTTCAACAATTTGATAGGTTTATGGTAGGGACTAGGGTTTATCACAATTTCTATATCTAAATCCCATTCCATAAAAAAATCAAATATGAATTCGAATTTAACTTAATTGATTTATATTCAAAAAAATAAAAAGAGTACGAATCAAGTAATTTTAGTGGTTAATAAATTATTTTTATTTTTTGAAATTTCGAGTTTGAGCATAATATATACAATGATACAAGTGTTCAATATCAAATAAATTTAAATTTTTAAATAAATACTACCTTATATTATCTGGTAGCAAGTTTTTGAACGAAGACCTAATTAATTAAGCAATCCCACGAATGCTGTGTTTTTTATTGTCCAAAGAAAACCTACAGAGAACATAAGGAAACTGTGTGGATAAGAATATCTCCCACGTGGAAACTTCAACCTTGAGTCACCAAAGAACATAAAAGCCGATCATCCTGAAACCCACACCACACAATATTTCCTTCATCAATCTTCTTATATTCATCTCATTTCAATGCTTTAATACCCGAAATGCCACTTGTTTTAAACGTTGAACACCTTACACATCACCCCTCAAGTTTTCTTTTGAGGCCTAGTTCTGGGAATCCGCCTACTGAAAGTTGGATAAACATTTGTTATGGACAAGATGTTGTATCAGCATTCCACTGTTAATAGGCTCTCGTTATTAGAGTCTCACCGAGATGAAGACATGATCTTAACAAAATCCCTTCCGTATCTGCCATGGTGGATCTTGATCAGGAGCAACCTGCAACCACCAAAATTAACATGTCTTCTAAAAAGGAGCTCATCTCCACAGCCATGAAGAGAACCAGCGAGTGGTATCATTACTATCTTTGGTTTTATAAGCAGGAATTCTTAAATTGCTTCTCAGAGCCAATAACTTATTCTTATTCCTAGGATTTTCTCTCAGGAGATTCCCAGTGATGTTACCGTTCAAGTTGGGGGAGCTTCTTTTTCACTTCATAAGGTAGAATTCAAGCAATTCAATTACTATACAAACATCAACGGTATGTATACCTTTATTATTTCAACCTGTTTTGTTTGTATTTCCTGCTTCAATTGCAGTTTCCATTAGTATCCAAGTGTGGATACATAAGGAAAGTTGTATCAGAATCCAATGATGCTGATCTTTCAGTCATAGAAATTCCTGATGTACCGGGTGGAGCAGAATCATTTGAACTTGCTGCTAAATTCTGTTACGGGATATATTTTGAGATAAGCACCGAAAACATCGCCGTGCTACGATGTGTGGCGGAGTATCTTGAGATGACTGAGGACTATGCAGTTGGAAATCTTGTAGGAAGAACTGAGGCCTACTTGAATGAAGTGGCACTTAAGAACCTAGCAGGAGCAGTTTCTGTGTTACATGCCTCTGAGAACCTCCTCCCCATTGCAGAGGAAGTTAAATTGGTCGGCCGGTGTGTCGATGCCATAGCATATTTAGCTTGCAAAGAAAGTGGAAATGATATTGCAGCGTCTTCAGCAATCTCTAACTCGAAAACTATCGTTGATTGGTGGGCTGAGGATTTAGCTGTTCTTCGAATCGACATATTCCAACGGGTGTTGATTGCAATGATAGCAAGAGGGTTTAAACAATATGTTCTTGTTCCTGTGCTTATGCTCTATGCTCAGAAATCTCTTAGAGGTTTGGTGAGACCCCATACCAACATGACTGACTTGTTTACCTGATGTGAGTAATGTCTAAAGTTGAGGCTTCTTCTTTCGTGCAGGAAATATTCGGGAAGGGGAGGAAGAGAATCGAACCACGACAAGAACACGAGAAGAGGGTTGTCTTGGAAACCATAGTGAGCCTTCTGCCAAGGGAGAAAAATGCAATATCAGTAAGCTTTCTATCGGTGCTGCTTCGAGCAGCAATATATCTCGAAACAACTGTTGCTTGTCGACTCGATTTAGAGAAAAGGATGGCCTTGCAATTAGGACAGGCTGTCCTGGATGATCTCTTGATTCCTGCTTATTCCTTTACTGGGGATACATTGTTTGATGTGGAAACAGTACAGCGAATCTTGATGAATTACCTTGAATATGAAACTGAAGGTTGTCATTTTGGGTACAAAGAAGAAGAAGACTGTATTTCTCTTCCAGCAAGTACTAACACGGAAAGGGTGGGGAAGCTAATGGAGAGTTACCTAGCCGAAATTGCATCCGATCATAATCTAGCTGTCTCAAAATTCATCGGTCTCACTGAACTCATTCCCGAACAATCGAGGATAACAGAGGATGGTATGTATAGAGCCATAGATATCTACCTTAAGGTAACAGACTCTCTTATTTAATTACCCTCGTCTAAAGAATCTTCTGCAACTTTTTACTCATTCAATAATTATGATTATTCAGTGTGATTATATACATTCTAAGTTTATATGATTATAAATCAAGTTTCGACACATTGTAGTGAAGGTGATTTTGAAGCGCTTTGTCAATGGAGAGTTGGACCTAACAGAACCCTTTTAGCTTACATTGCTTTCCTTGATCTTTATGTGAATGAATAGTATCTTAGTGGATTACTGAATGGTATATTTTCTTATCTACCTTTTGATAATAATTGACAATTGACAGGCTCATCCCACCATAACTGACATGGAGAGGAAGAAAGTTTGCAGCATAATGGATTGCCAGAAACTCTCTCGGGAGGCCTGCGCTCACGCCTCACAAAATGATCGTCTTCCGGTCCAGACAGTAGTTCAAGTTCTTTACTATGAACAACAACGCCTTCGGGATGTCATGAATGGAAGCATTTCAAGTGGAAACTCACCTTCCATTTCTTCCAGGGTGATTTTATACCCTACAGCAGATATCCACCACCCGGTGTCAGATGAACTTTCCAGCTTGAAAAGAGAGAACCAGGAATTGAAACTAGAGCTAGCAAAAATGAAAATGAGATTGAAAGAAATAGAAAGATCATTTGTTAAACCAGCAGTAAGCAGTCCAATGGGAAATGTTCTGCCATCATCTGATAAGCCACCTTTGCCTAGAAAATCATTCATGGATTCAATTTCTAAGAAACTTGGACGGCTTTATCCTTTTCCACCTTCCGGTGCCAGACGTCGAACTAGACCAAGCAAAGATAGGAGGCACACCATATCTTGACACATTAATTTATTTGCCACTCACTGTAAGTACTTTTCTAAAGAGTTGAATGTCTGTGCACTCATATCTTTTTCTTTCCCTTTTTTTGGGGTACCATCCATTGCTCTTGGAACAGTTGTATATCTGCATCTTTTGAGTGGTGTTGATGTAAATACTATCATATTTATGTTTGAGAAGCACGTTATTCAAAGCATGGTGGTACCAAGTTATAATCTAAACTACAAGGAAACCACAAGAAAACAAGGCATGGGGAAATGTAAAATTCTACTTATAATCTAAACTTAGGTTTAAAATTGACGGTATCTTGTATCTGACAAATCTGCTGGATAAAAGAACAGAAAAGAAATAGTTAAAACAGAATGTGGGGTCTTTATATGAATTATTGACACCTTTTGGGAAAACGAACTTTGGAAAAGCAATTGTAGCTTAATGAACAAGCTACCAAGTTGTACCATGTTTTGTCTGAGGCAAAAGCATAATGATTTTTAAAGACGGTTCCAAAATATTAAAGTTTCAATGGTCCCAGGCTTGCATGCTCTTGAAGCTTATTCACAATCTGGACTAATTAACACCTAAACTGTTCAAGAAAGATGCCGGAAATCCCTTTTAGGTGGTCAAACTTGAACTTTTTGATGTTGCACTTTTCAACATTAACAATAAATTTTGAACTGAAACAATGGTTGTATTGCAAAGGTTGATCAAATCAAAGAGAACAATGATGTGTGCTTTGTACTTGAACCTGACTGATTTGAAAGCTGAGCTTTACAAATTAGAGGGTCTTTTCAAGTGAGGGAAACCAGTGATCTTTACATAATACTCCAATTGCTAAAAATACACTAAGCAGAAACTCCCACACAAACATCAATCACAGGAAATTAGTCGATAGGAAACAGTCTAAAATCTAATCATATCGACTTGGAAAATAGTTTCATTTCCATTTTCAAGTCATATTCGTACTTAGAACTTGGAAAAACCATGGGGGCTGTTTCAATCTCTCTTGTCTCAACTGTTCTTCAAGCTCGTTGTTGTTTATACTTCCATTTTGATACATCAATGTCATGTCTGTGACCTGGAAAAGTCCCATCCCATCATCATTGCCATTGAACTCTTCTCTTGTTGTGCTTGTCTTCTTTATATGACTGGATTCAGTGGGAGAAGAGAAGGTTGGACCAGAATCGGAAGTTAGCGGAGTCCCATGTTTCTTCCTCGGCGTGTACTTTGTGAGACCTAAAGTCAGCTCAATCTCTCTCTCATCTATGTCTTCTAAACGACCATGATCCGATTCTGCAACTTTGTATCCCTGATGATCAGCCTCGGCTGCAGGGTGTTCCAAGTCAAGTCTCATTCTTGAACTGTGATGCATATTGGTATTCCCCTGCTGATTATTCTTCTTCATGATAAAGCTTCCATTAGGCCTGCTTCTTTCAATGCTTTTCATCCGTGTCTTCTGGATTCGATAATGACGATGCAGCTCGTAGACCTGAAAAAGAAAACGTTGCTTCAAGCTTAGAGCAACAAATACAATTGAAAAAACGAAATAATATATATATATACCTGATGTTTGAATGTTTTTTCATGTTTTAACATTGCCATCTTCATATACTCCTTATCATACGGCCGAAAAAGGCTCTCCATTGCGAGTTTGATGTTGCTTGAACAATACACCAAGAAAAGAAAATCCAGGATATATAGAAATGATCCTTTCTTCCCAAGAAATTGGCAGAAAAAGGTAGATCACTTAATAACTGTGATAATCAAAATCACCTTTCACTATTCCCACCTGCAAAAGTTAGCAAAATTGCCCCAAAGAAGAAAAGAAAGCTGAGAAGAGGAAAGAGGGGGATAAAAGGCGTCAATTAATGTTTTTACAACACTAATATGAGAGTGTGATAAACATCAACTACATGTTAGTATAGTTTGTCTGCTTGTTCACATGTTTTTTGGGCCACCATTCATAATCTTCCATACAAAATATCTTTCATGTTGCAGCTTTGTCTATGAGTACATTATATATCACATCTGGCTTCAATGCCCTTCTTAGTTTGTTCTTATTTCATTACTTTTTCATCGGTAAATATTCTGAATTTTCAGTCTTATATGATTAACCTTATCTTAAAATTGCTTCTTTAAGAAAAAACCAATTAAGTTATGCAAATAGGAAGGCTGGCTGGTTGTCCCTTGTTCCCATATGTAATGAGGTAAGGGGGAAGTAAGATAATAGGTTGCCTCCAACACTAGGTTGAAAGCAGCTTCCGTAGGAGAACTCCAAATTATGAAATGCCCTCCATGAGACTCGATCCCACAACCTCATGATTGAGAACCTTATGCTCTACCCACTGAGCTGGATGGTCATTATGTGTACTAGTAGGATCATAATCACCATATTAAAGGGTAATTATTAAAAGAATAATCACCATGTTAACAAGAAAATCAAATCAAAACACACTCCAACATCCTAATTCTTTGCTATCAAAAGTCAAACTCTATATTTTCTGAGTTTTATCTCTCTTATTCGCTTGTTCCTGCAATGGATTCATGCATCCAGTAAAAAGAAATGAAGAGCATATTCTGACCTGTTACAGATTCTTCTAAGAGCTACCAAACTATGAAGAACCACCGCAGCTTTTCAGTAGGTAAACCAGTTGAAGAAGAAGAAGGCAAAAGAAAAAGTGAAAACGGGGGGGGGGGGCATAAGCTCTAGGTTTTGACTGAGAAAGAAGAATTTAAGATTCTGTGGTGCATTCTTGGATTTCAGGCATGCCAGACAAATCAGAGTGGTACTAGCCAATGCAGTTCAAGTTCTGTGAAAGATGCCTCAGCAGGTCCAGCAATGCAGTTCATATAAAATAACAACACCCAAAACATGTTACTAGGATTTTGAAGACAAATCATAAATTAGCTCAGCTTCGTTTGCCGTGGTGATTCACATGCATTCTATATAGATTCTTTTTTTTTTTTTGAAAAGAAAAATGTTAGTGGGAAATGATATGATGAAGGAGCTGTTCATGGCTTCTCCTGGCCCCTCCGACAATTACAGCCCTGCGGTATGATAAGTGGGCATCGTTTCAAAAACCATCATAAAAAGTTAGAGCACACCAATTGGCTTATATTCGGCCCGTTTGGTAAGGTTGTCTAACCGTACTTTTGGCTAAAAGGTTAATTTTGACATCACAATCAACGTTAAAAATAGAAGAAAAAAAACATACGGTTAGAACAGTAGTTTCAAACTAACCGTAAAAGTTAAGATTTTCAACATTTCATTTTCAGTTTTGCTTTTAGAAATAAATTTATGTTTTTATCCTTGTTAGTGCGTGACCTCTACTCATTTGCCCTGAAAATGAATTTTGGAATTCAATTTCTTTTATAAATTATGAATTAACTTTTTATTTCTCTAATTTAATACTAATATTTTTAAAAAATAATTTATTACCTAATAATTTATTTTAATTACTTAAAAATAATTAAAGTTTATGATTTATATATTAAAATACTAATGTGAGTTATTATAAAATATATTTTTATTTACATTATTTATATTTTTATTATGGCTTAAATTGATATACTTTATTATTTAAATATTAACAAATTTAATTAATTTAAGTTATAATATAACGTCTAAAATAAATATTTTATCTTATTAAAAATACTTTTTGATAACAATACCAAAATCTAAAATCTTAAACTCAATTTTTCAAAATCACTTTTAAAAGTAATATATGAACACAATAACAATCAACCATATGTTTATTATAATATATAAACTAAACCATTAGAATCCATTAATTTAACTAAGATTTATAGTTAAATTTCTTCCATCAAGTAAATTTTAATCAAATTTTACTCTAAATTCATAAAACAAAATTAATAATTTAAGATGATTATAAGATAATATTTATTTAAAATATTTTTTAAACATTCATAACATATGTACTCACAAACCTAACTACTTAAACCCATAACCTAAAAAAATATCCCAAACTCTTAAAAGGTAGCAACAGGCACATGATCTAAAAGATCTTGAGTCTTAAACTAAAGGTCCGTTTGGAACAGGGAAAACAAATTAAAAAAGTTTTCCCCGTTTTCGAGTGTTTGGTTCACATAAAACACCGGGTTAACGTAAAATGAAATTTGGTCAATACAAAACTGAGAATAAAACACGGTATTTCGACTTAACGTTTGGAACAGGATAAGTCGTTTTCCATTTCTCGCGTCACTTACTCCACAGAGAGAACAGGGTAATTTCTTTCTCCCGTCCCTTGCTCCACACCGGTGACTGTTTGTAATACTTCTCACCGGAGAGACGGGCGATCCTCTTATCAGGTATGTTTCGTTTCTTCTTCTCCCTTTTCATCTTCCTTGATTTTTTTTTTCATCTTTTCCTCATTTTCCATTTTCAATTTCACCATTGCGAGGCAGAAAACAAAGATCTGAAAGCTGAAATTCCTGGAAGTGTCAAAGCCATATCGGCGGGATGCCTCAATTGGAAGAGAAGCCAGAAGAAGCACCGAACGGTGCTGCAGCATTCGAAGATGACAAAGAAGAAGATTTTTCGTGGTCATTCGATTCTGAAATTGGCGAGGCATTGGATTATTTGGATTCCAAGGATATTGAGGAGTCCATAGATGGTTCTTTCGCGCTTACTTCTAGGCGACCTAACGCTCACGGCCTAATTCCTCCGCTCTTCAACCTCTCTCTAACCGTAACCAGAAGTTCTCTAGTCATATTCGAGCTTCCCCTTTAGAGGTAAAAATACATTATTATTGCTAAATTTAAGTTTATTGTTCCTGTTTTTTCTCGTTTCTTTTAATTGGTTTGGTGTTTGAATTGAATGGTGGAGTGGGAAGGGAGGTTAAATGTTGGAATGTCTAATTCAGTTACAACTGCAATTCGTGAAAGTCTTCGTGACATGGCCATCGGTAAAAGAAAAGCTACTAAGAAAGCTGATCGTGCTACTGTTGAACAGGTGAAATACTCATAATTGATCGATCTGAACATTTTACTGATATTTTTTCTTCTTATTGCTACCAGTCTTTTGGAAGATTGAGTCGCTCATGATGATGTTCTGCAGGCTATTGATCCAAGAACTTGTATAGTTCTGTTTAAAATGCTGAACCTAGGTGTATTTCATGATATAAATGGCTGCATCTCAACTGGAAAAGAAGTATGTGATGTGATTTTAATGTTGGATGTTAGTTTCTTATGCATCAATTTGTAATATCATAGTTTGATGAATTCATGTGATATTTAGTTTGTCCTTTGTACAGACAAATATATATCATGCAACAAAATCGGATGGTCAGGAGCTGGCAATCAGAGTGTATAATAAAACTTCTGTTTTGGTTTTCAAGTAAGTGGGTTTTTTATTAGATAATTGGACTCAAACATCTTCTATTTATTCCCAACATTGTACGATATTACTCTTTTTCATTTGTAAGTAGTTAGTAATGGTGAGATGAGGGTACAGGATTTAAGCATAATTTTTACATTCCATTTGATACTGTTTTTGGATGAATGTCCTCAATTTCATTATAGATATTGACTTGTCTCTTGTTCCATATTTTGTGTAGCATATTAATTTTGTAAGAACTGCTATACTATTTTATACTCCCACAATATTAAATTCCATGTTTTTGTGCCAAAGTTTATATATGTTACCAATGTAATCAATTGGTTTCTAATAATAACTTCAGGGATCGTGATCGATATGTGCAAGGTGATTACCGATTCAGATATGGTTATTGTAAGCACAATCCTAGAAAAATGAAGACATGGGCTGAGAAAGAAATGAGGAATCTTATGAGATAAAACAAAAAATATTGTTTCTTAAAGGTTGACCGTTGCTTCTGTTAATAGAGGCACATCAATAATTATGTGTGCATCATTTTTGTTTGCATTTCATCAGTGGAGATGTTTGTTTTGAGTTGCAGGCTTAAAGCTGCAGGGATTAGGTGTCCAAACCCCTTACATTTGAGACTTCATGTCTGGTCATGGAATTCATAGCTATGTGAAATCTTTATCATTATTACTTAACGTCTGTCTGATAATCAGGACATATACAAGTGGTTTTACCGTTTTTGTTATGCTGTTTTTACATGGGTTTTTGGTGCTAAAACTGTGATGCCTTATTATCTTTAGACAAGTTACGGGAATGTTATCTGGAGGTGTGTCCTTATGTTAAGTAACAATAACATTATTCTGGGCTACCCAAAATGTTTTAAATTAATATTACTTCATTTTTCTCTTTCTTTTCTCCATATGCTTAACTTCTTGGCCCTTTTTTCCCTTGACGATAGTTGCAATGCGGACGTTATACCAGAAATGCAAACTAGTTCATGGAGATCTCACTGAATATAACATACTTTATTTCGAGGTGATGACTAGTATTTTCAATTCCCTGCTACTGATAATACAAGTTTCTTTCTGCCCTTCTTTTTGTAGATTTTGAGCAAAAACATAGTCAAAGAGGAAAAACAGATCTTTAAGTTATTCTGGGTTCATTTGAAAATTTTCCACTTTATACATAATTGATGTATCTCAATCGGTTGATCTTGACCACCCACACGCCCTGGATTTCTTGCGTCAAGATTGTGTTCATGTTTTTGTGTTTCCTTCTTCATTATTTTAGCTCTAATGTGTTGTAGTATAGACTTTAGTAATTGTATTGTTAGTTTGATGGGTTGTAGCACAAATTATAAATTAAACTTTGTATTATTATTGTTGAATATTATTATTGTTTTAATGTGATAAACCTTTTAATTATATATTTTGACACTATTATTATTATTATAATGTTATGTAATATTATTGTTTTAATTTGATGTATTATTAATTAAATATTTTTAAGATTTATAAACTTTTATAATATATTTTTTATCAATTATTAATATTATCTAAAATATATATTTTTATAAAATATAATTAATTATATATAAAAAATGAACCTTTAAAAATAATAAATAATAAAATATATCTAATATGTATAACTTTTTTATTAAAAAGAGATTCTAAAAATTATTTTTAAGGAAATTACCCACACAATGTAAAATATTTTACAATGTATCATTTAAATACTAAAAAATAATTTATATTTTTTGTAAAATATTTTTTAGATTTTATTTTTCGTAAACCGTTTTTAATGAAAGAAACATACCAAAAAGAAACATTTAACATTCTCTCAAATTTTAGGTTGAAATTTACATAAAAAAATCTTAAATTTTTAAAATAAAAACTAATTTTATAATTTTATAAATAACTCTTACGACTCGATTTCAAATATATTATATTTTATTTCCTTATATTTTTATTTTTTCATAATTTTATATATTTTTTTCAAGGCAAATGAGGTGGAGCGATTTCTATTTTGGCTATCTTCATATTCCAGCCCGATTATCTTTCCATTCACAACCGAACAAAAAGAAATGATAAATACGTAGTCTCCCCTGAATTTTGTGATCTTCTACGGTCACGTTTGAAATTACACAGGTCGAATAAATCAAAACAAATATAGTTATCCAGCAATCCAAGAAAAGGGAGAAGAAGAAACGAGACGTACCTGAGAAATCGTACTGCCCGCCTCGCCGGTGAGAAAGATTCCAAATAGTCACCGGTGTGGAGCAAGGGGCGGGAGAAATCAATTTTTGTCTGCTCTGTGCGGATCAAGGATCGCTTGGAAAACAACTTACCTTTTAAAAACGAAAAGTCGAAATACCATGTATTTGGCTCAGTTTTCCATTGACTGTAAAAGATTTTATGTTGACTGGGTATTTTATGCTAACCAAACACCCAAAAACAGGAATAACATTTTTCATAAATTATTTTTCCCGTTCCAAACGGATCTAAGCATATATTTATGTAGTATGAGATGTAGATATCGCAGTTCCCCAAACAAACAGATAAAATAAGGGAAGGAAGGCTAATGCAAATCTCGAATATAATCAATTGGTTTTATTAATAGAATAAAAGAAATTGGTGAGGAACTGCAAGATGATGACGGATCATTTGGATCTGAGTTGTTGGATTTGATTTTCAACCCCACACAAAAACAATGATTGCAGCCGTTTGATGTGGTTGTTGGGAAATCAATCATAGACGGTCCAGATAAACTTGATAAAATATTAGGCCCGTAAATGAACTGAACGTTCAGCGAACCGTTCATGAACCGTGCGGCGGGAAGTTCGTTTATGTGTGTTTATTTATTAAATGAACGAACATGAACAAGATTTTGTGTTCGTTTAATTAAATGAACGAACATGAACATAGGTCTCGTTCGTTCATTTACGTTCGTGAACGTTCGGTTATGTTCGTTCGGTTATGTTCGTTTATGTTCGTTCGGTTATGTTCGTTTATGTTCATTCATTTATGTTTAACCTAATCTTCTTAAATCAATTTTGATGACCAATTTGTAAGTATCTTAAAAATATTAATTAATCTGATATTCTAATGATCAACTCCATAATTAACCTAATTTTATTTGGAAAACCCAATAATATTAACATGGTTTAGTTCTTTTTGAACGATCTATAAGCTGAATATCCAACACCGTCAACATCCACTGCGCCAGAACCCTATGTGACTGCGCCGCCAGTTGGTTATCCGATGAGCAAAGAGGAGTCCCAGAAACTGGTTGCTTTCAAAACCAAGTCCAAAGTGATGGATTCCAGAATAGATGTTAAGTATTAAACATCGTTTCTTCTACTCAAATAATCTTCTTTTCTTTCATATATAATGGAGTATTCGAATTTACAAGTAAATAGTGATCAACCAGCAACTCAAGTCAGCTTACTATGAACTCAAGAACCCAATAATGGTAAGGCCTTATTCCATAGGTTGAGAAGTTCTTTAACGTGTTTCATCAAACAAATTTTGTGCGCCATCTGGATATGGAAGTTTAGCCAATCTACTTCTCTCGTCTCCCAATTTTCAACTTCTACATAGTACGAAGCTAAGGACATGTTTGTTTGATCCCCAAGGATTAAGGTCGGCAATCACATGAAACACAATCTGTGTTCATCTCGACTGTTGTTGAAGGAGATAGGAAGAAAGAAAGTGGAGGAATGTTATGCAATCCCACATCAGTAGCAAACAAGCAGCTCGAGGTTGGTAACTTATATAAAAGAAGATGGGGGAGAATAGGTTTAAGCATCTTTGCGCTTGGGGCAATGTCGAGCTTGAATCGAGCTCAGAATCAAGCTTCAATTGAGCTCGAGTCTCGAGTTTTAATCGAGCTCTTAATTTTTTTTGAGTTCGAGCCTTTTCAAGTTCGAGTCGAGTTTCAATATTATATTTCGAGTTCGAGTCGAGCTTGATAATTTTAAGCTCGAGAGTTTTTGAGTCGAGTCGAGTTAACTTTGAAAGTTTTTGAGTTCGAGTCGAGCTCAGCAATACTCGAGCTCGACTCGGCTTGTTTACACCCCTAGGTGGGGTCTCCAACGTTTATGTTCGTTTATGTTCGTGTTCATTTATGTTCGTGTTCGTTTATGTTCGTGCGCGTTTATGTTCGTTTATTTATTAAATGAACGAACATGAACAAGTTATATTCCTTAATAAGCGAACATGAACAAAAAAAAAATTGTTCGTTTATGTTCGTGTTCGTTTATGTTCATTTATTTATTAAATGAACGAACATGAACATACCTCCGTTCGTGTGCGTTCGGTTCGTTTACAGGCCTATAAAATATGGTACACATTAAGTGTACTTGTATATATATATATATTATCAACAATTTTTAGAATATATAATTAAAAATTGTCGGTTAACACTTCTCTTCCTAAAATTTCTATCTAGGGAATCAGATATTTCATATGACTTGCTTTTCGCGATAGATTACTCACCAATGTGAACCGTTGCAAAAGAAATATCGCCAGCAGCTCCTTATGCGATATATGCGGAGCAAGCGATGAAAGTTCGCTCCACATTCTTGGAGATTGCACTGAATCGAAGAGTCTTTGGTCCACTCTCATCTCGCCTCCGGATGCGAACAACTTCTTTAGCCTAACCTTGGATTCAGTATAATATTAGCACGAACCATCTTCTTCCGGGTACTTCAATCCCTTGGAAAATTGCGTTCGCTTCTTTGGATTGGCACCTTTGGAAACGTCGAAATTCGTGTATCTTCAATGCAGAACTCTATCAGACAAGCACCACATGTGCAAATTACTACACCACTACTCCTATCACTAATGGTCGAGCTTCCAGCCAATGTGAGATTCTCCAATGGCTCCCTGCTTCGAATGATTGGTTAACCTTTAATTCTAACGGTGCTTTGGATATTACTTCCTCTCTGGGTTCTTCTAGAGGAGTCATCCGGAATAGTGGAGGTACCTGGTTAGTTGGTTATAACAGATCTCTGTTTCTCTACTGTTCTACATTCTGAATTATGAGGAATCTATGATGGTCTTTGTCTCGCCTGGAACGTGGGGTGCAAGAAGGTGCAATACCAAATGGACAGCGCTGATGCTCACCGAAACTTATTACTTCGGCCTCAGCTCAGTCCTCTCCGGTTGCTCTCGTTCGAATGATTGCTGATCTTATCTCCCGCCCATGGCTTTTAAATTTCAGCCTTATCAATCGGGAAGCCAACTCCGTAGCAGAACACCTAGCAAAACTCGCAGCAAATCTTGATGGATCAATCCACACTCTTCATGACATTCCGTCCTCGATTACTAGCTTACTTCATCGGGACATCCACGGTCCTCCTTATTTTAAGAATATGACACACAATAAGTAATTGGCTCTGCCTCATTTATGTTCAATAATAATAATAATCATATGCAGCAGTTTCTTGGATGTACATTATCATATGATATATCTCTCCCCATTCTTTTGTTTGTAATTTGCTAAAACATATTTCTTTATTTGATGCCGTTTTTTTTATAACCATACATAGTATATAGAGATGATAATTTAATCCAAAATCAACTGATTGATAGAGTTGAAATCTTTTTTTTTTTTTAAATTAAGTTTGGATCGAGTCAGTTCAGGTCCAGTTTAGGTGGAAGTGAAAAAACTCCGACCCTATTTGACCCTGCTCGAGGACAATAGTGTAATTTCTTCAAATAAAATTATGGATAATTGCTACAATACATTCTCTCTTTGTTATTTTTAATTAAGTCCTTATTTTATATTAGATCGAATCGAAATTATACTCTAAAAATTCAGTCAGATCAAGTTGGATTGGATGGAGAGTATATATTTTTCAGATCAGGTTAAATTCGGATGGAATATATATATATTTTTAATCGGATTGAATTAACAAAAAATATGACTCAACCCAACCTACTACTATCCCTAATAGTACATACTCGAAGATGATTCATTGGGATTTTTCATTTAGATGATATCTTCACTCAAATTATGTACGGAATTGTCATCTTATGTCAATTAACTAAAAAATATAATTTTTTATTTTTTTATTAATTTAAAATATTATAAGATAACATTTATTTAAAATTCACTTAATTAATTTACAATGAATATACTTTTATATTTAATGAACCTAAGAAGTAAGATGAAGATAGCCAAAATAGAAAGCGCTCCACCTCATTTGCGTTGAAAAATATATATAAAATTATGAGAAAATAAAATATAAGGAAATAAAATATAATATATTTGAAATCGAGTCGTAAGAGTTATTTATAAAATTATAAATTTATTTTTTTAAAAAAATTAAAAAAATCTGTAAATTTCATATTTCAACCGAAAAATTGAGAGAATGTTAAATGTTTTTCTCATTGGAAAATAGTGAATTTGATTTGTTTGTAGATATTAATAGATAAAAACATTCAGAAACCTACAAATTGATAAATTTGAAGTAAGTAGTTGTCGTAACCGGTTTTCGTCCGGGTACGAATTTTTTATTTGGCGGGAAAAAATAATATGAATAAATAAATGATTTTGATTTAAAAAATATTTTGGGAGTCGCCATCGACCTTTTTGGGTTAGGTAGGTCAAATACCTAAAAACAATCTTTTAAAATAGTTTTAAAGAAAACATAATTTAAAAGATAAAAATGATCTGCGTATAACCAAAAAAAAAAAGATTCGTGGTCGATTACGTTTAGGGAAGGATTAGCACCCTTATAACGCCCAAAATTGGTACTCATTAATTATAATTTGTCTCTATTATTAGAAATTTTAAAAATTCAAAGATATATTTAATTTATAATCTTGTTATTTCAAATTTATAATTTTAAGAAATTCTATTAATTTATATATAAATAAGATATTTATTTATTTAGAAATATCAGAAAAGGGCTTCTAGGTGCTTTAAGACAGCTCTTTTCTTAATATTACAAAATAAATAAATATTAAAACATTTATATAAAATAGATATAATTTATAAAAGTAATATATTAAATTATTTAAAATATCAGAAAATAGACATCCAGTTGCTTTAAGACTGCCCTTTCTTAATATTGAAAAATAAATATTAAAAGATGATTAAAATGATTTAAAAGTAATTTATTAAATTTATAAATAGGATTTTAATAAAATAAATAGATAAATATTATTTATTATAAATATATTTTCATGACTAAATAATAATAATAATAATTATTAAATATATGAACATATAAATTTAAAATATAAATAAACAATAACTAAAATTAACATTAAATATAAAAAGTAATAAGACTTATAATTAAATAAAGGTATTAAAATTAATGGCTATATTATAACATTTTAAAATTAGATACCTAATTTATAAATAATTATTTAATAGTTCAGTGACTAAACAAGCTATGTTTCCTATTTTTAATTTAGGGACTAAATTAAATATATATAAAATTCAAACATCAAATTAAAACAAATTAAAACATGATGTTCATGATTAAAATTTTAATTATTAAAATTAGAGGACTAAATCTGATATTTTATCTTAAATATATATAATTACGG